TAGCTCTGCCTATTACTAGCTCTGTGTCCCTAGGAAGGTTGCATAACATCTCTGGGCCTCGGGTTCTTAATCTATAAAGGGGAACTATCCTCACAGATGAGTGTGAGGGTTCAAAGAGATACTGCCTGCCAAGCACTGGCCACAAATGCCTGGCAGAACAAGTGCTCATAAGTGTGTAGTTGTTGTTATTACTACTAACTAAGTGAGGAAAATTATCCCTAGCAGGTTCAGATGACTGCGTGCATGAACCACAGGGAGACCCTAAAGGATTTCCTCCTGTGAAGCTCTTTCCCCACCTATTTGCTACTGCCTGAAATTGCTTTAGCAGGAAACAGAATCTCTCATGCCACAAGTGAGGATAAAGTTTAAAATGTAAATGCTCTAGGAAAAGGCAACTCATCTCTTAAATTCTCTCCAAGGTTCAAATCCTTTCCAAAGAGGAGGCTTTTGTATAAGTCAGCAGGCCCAGTCCCTGAAGGTCATGGAAAAGGTCATGACACACAGAGGACGTGTCAAAGGGAAACTGGGAAACTGAAGATGAAGCTAGTATTGAACACATTCTCATTTTGAAAACCCAATTCTGTTTTCTGACGGCAAAAAGCACACTGGTTTAGGGTTGTTCTTGTCTTTCTTTAAATCATATTTTATACAACATACCCCTCTAATCAAATGACAACATAGTACTAGGCCATAGTGAGGTTAGGATCACATTAGAACACATTTTTTTGTGACTTCCCACCCACTTTCCTATTGGTTACTAGCCACTCAAAAACTGGACAAGAGAAGTGGAGTAAATGAGAACGGCTCTCTATTTTATCAAGTATAGTTGAAGGTGGAAGTAGGGCCCAGGATTCCCTGGAGTTATTCCCAAAACCCCTCAACTTTCTAGTGACTCTGAAGCACACCCTGCCTGGGTAGACATGCCCGGAGTGACACAGAGCTCCAAGCTAACCCAAGGCTGCCTGAAATCGAATAGGAGGAGACCTCTATGGACCCATATTCTAAGATTCAGACAATCTATGAAATGGTTAAGAGGGTAAGCTCTAGGCTGGGCATGGTAGCTCATGCCTATAACCCTGCACTTTTGGGAGGCCAAGGCAGGAGGATCACTTGAGCTCAGGAGTTACAGGCTAGCCTGGGCAACATAGTGAGACTCCATCTCTACAAAAAATGGAAGAAAATTAGCTTGGCATGGTGGCACGCACTTGTAGTCCTAGCTACTCAGGAGGTTGAAGTGGGAGGATTACTTGAGCCTGGGAGGTTGAGGCTGCAGTAAGCTGTGATTGTATCACTGCACTCCAACCTGGGTGACAGAGCAAGACCTTGTCTCAAAAAAATAAATAAATAAATAAAAAGAATGAGCTCTAGAGTCAGCCTGGGTTCAATTCCTGGCTCCGCCATTTCCTAGCTGGTGGCCTTAGACAGGTTAATTTACTTCTGCAAACCTCCTCTTGCTCGCACATGAAATGGAGTTAATAATAGTACCTACCTCATAGATAGGGTTATAGTAGGGATCAAAGAAAACACATGTAAAATGATTTGCACCAGATGCTGGAAATAAAAACCAAATGAAGTCCTTCTGTTAGATTGTCACTCTATGTAAGACGTGCTACCAGGTCCTTTATTTCATATTTTCTTACACAGATGTAAGAACCATCTGGTCACCATACTGACCTCTAGGATTTATTCTTCTAATCTAGTTTGCCAGGATGGCCCCTTCCTCCATCTCCTCTAACACGTAATATATCAATATTATAGTAGTCAACATAGTATTAATGGCTGTGAATTAACACTAAATCATAAATATGTTTCCAAATGATGATATTGCTCTAAATCAATAACAGTTCTTATTTATTGCATTTGTTGGTTCTCTCTATATATTGTCTTCAGTACTGACAACATCTCAGAAAAGTAGGTATTATTCTCTTTTACACTTAGAACAGGAAAGGCAATCATACACACTTCAGGGTACCGTGCAAGTGAATTGCCAGGATCCTTTCTGGAAGCAGATAGAATGTAAAACATTAACAGATGCATGAATAACATTCATTCATAATGAATAACAGATGAATGAATGCATGCCTGCATAGCCCTGTATCATGAGTTACAAAATGAACAAATGACCACCTCACTTTACAGAGTGATTATCATGGAACCCCTTTACAAAGACATTTTCCCCAACAAATATAAAATACGATTTCACTTCCTAAAGTTCAATGTATATGCCACAGTTTGGGGCTTTTTCTGTCTTACTTATTGTAGGAAAATCTGGAAATGATCCAAAACAAGGACAAAAATTTCAAATCATCTGTAATTCCTCCACCCAAAGATAATGTTTCTACAAATATTATTTCTATGCATGTACATAACATTTTGTAAAAAAAAAAAAACAAAACAAACAAACAAAAAAAAAAACCATGACTGGGCACAATGGCTTACGCCTATAATCCCAGCACTTTGAGAGGCAGCAGCGGGAAGATTGCTTGAGCCCAGGAGTTTGAGACCAGCCTGGGCAACATGGCAAACCCCTATTGCTACAAACAATACAAAAAGAAATCAGCTGGCTATGGTGGTGTGTGCCTGTGGTCCCAGCTACTTGGGAGGCTGAGGTAGGAGGATCACCTGAGCGCAAGAGGTTGAGGCTGCAGTAAGCCATGATCGCACCCCTGCACTCCAGTCTGGACGAGAGAGCAAGACCCTGTCTTAAATAAATAAATAAATACTTATACACTGTTTTGATACCTGATATTTTCACCAATTTCACATAATGCAACATTATGTGCATTTCCCAAAGCAATCAAATCTTCTTTCCATGACTTTAGGATTCCATCATGGACACAGAATTTTAGAAATTAGGATATAAGATGTAAAAGCTTTAAAATAATTCTATATTGTGGATATTTAGGTTGTTTTCCAATACATGGCTATTATAAACATTGCTATAAGTGGCAGTGGATTGAGGGCTAGAATCAGAGGGCTTAGTCCTAGTCTTGGCTTGGTCCCTTACTGCTCTGTGACTTTGTAACTTTTTTTTTTTTTTTGAGACGGAGTTTCGCTCTGCCGCCAGGCTGAAGTGCAGTGGCACGATCTCAGATCACTGCAACCTCCGCCTCCCAGGTTCAAGCAATTCTCCTGCTTCAGCCTCCCGAGTACCTGGGACTACAGGCGTGCGCCACCACGCCCAGCTAATTTTTGTATTTTTAGTAGAGATTGGGTTTCACCATGTTGGCCAGGATGGTCTGAAACTCCTGACCTCATGATGTGCCCACCTCGCCCTTCCAAAGTGCTGGGATTACAGACATGAGCCACCGTGCCCGGCTGTGACTTTGTAACTTTAAGTAAGTCACTTAGATTCTTAGGCCTTGAGTTTCCCATCTTTAAAATGGGAAGACTTTTCATCTGCACTGACAAATTGCCCTCCAGAAAGTCATACCAATTTACCATATCATTTTATCATATGAAATTTCTTGTTTTCCCACAACCTTACCATCACTGGATATTATCATTTAAAAAAAAATTTGCAAATTTGATGAGTAACAAAATGCCATCTCTTTTTTTTTTTAATTTGATAGTGTTTCATCTCAATTTGTATTTCTTTGATTACTCACCTGTTATTTGGACTTTGTCAATTACCTGTCCATGTAATTTGTTCTTTTTTCTATTAGGACATTTATCTCTTAATGGCTTGCAAAATTCTTCATATACTAACCATTTTTTTCCACTACACATGTTGGAAACATTTTCCCCTAGGCAGTTATTTACATTTGAAGTTTGAAACAGTTTAATTTTTAAAACTTCTAAATCAGAAAAAAGATTGTAACAGATGTTCTCTTGACAATCCCAAGCAGTTTAATATGACCCTGCAAATCTGCAAATGATCAGTCTAAAAGCATACAGCACAGGGTCCAGCAAATAGTAAGAGCTAAATAAATGTTGGCTGTAGTTTAATAATGATGACAATACTACTTAAATAAGAGTTCTTCAACAAAACCCGTCCAGCTCTCGTCACTTGTCTCCTTCTGTGTTTCTTTAGTGATAGCTAACAGCTGCCCTATTTCGCCCTTGAAAATGTTCTTGTGTGTAGGGAGAAAAGGGGATTATTTCTCTACTGAACCTGAGGATCCTGAGAAAGTTAAAGGACTAAAAAGCATGAAGAGAGAGGGGAGAACTCACCACCTTCTGGATCAGGGATGTTTGTTCCTCTCACAGGCAAAGCTGGAGTTTGCAAGCTGGGAACTCTCCTTCCCCATGCAGCAAGACCAGGGAGCAGGCAGGTGCATCAGGAAGGCCTAGGGATGTGGGCCAGGAAAAGTTCATATTTTATGAAATATGAGAGGCCAGGGCTCTCTCTGCCCCCACAGAACTCCCTTCTAGCTGTCCCTGTAAACCAGCAAGCCACACCCTGTCTGTCTGCCTCTGATAAAAGAACAGAGCAAAGAGGAGGCTCCCAGAAGTGAGGGAACCACTGAGTATGACTGACTGGGTATAAGGGACTTTTGCCCCTCCGCTCCCTTTTCCTCCAATGCTGCCAATAGTAATTCCCTTTGATGCATTTTGATCCTATCACATTCTTTCTGAAAACCTTCCCCTTTACTTTTCAGATCAGAGTAAATTGGAAGATTGGTTTCAAAGACATCCACCAATTAGCCACCTTCTTTAACTCACTGTCCTTATCTCCAGCTACACCCTGACATGTGCCTTCTGACAAGCAAGCTTGCTGTTTTTCAACATGTGATAAACGCTTCCCGCCTGTCTTGCTTTCATAATATCCTTAACTATATATTCATAATCTCCATAATTATATCACTAACAATACCTTATACATTTTTATGTCGTGTGAACTTTATAAAGATGGAGCCCATTGTACATAATTCCCAATGATTCCCTTTTTATTCAACATTAGCTTTTGAGTCTAGCAGACATCTGTGGTGGCCCACAACACCTCGGAGATATAAACAACAGTGAGAGGAGTCAAGACAAAATGCTCCAGCCTTGCACCTTCAGCTCTGAGCTGTATTCGATGTGATTCCTCTGAGTGTTCCCAATGGGATTGAGCACAGTGGTTCAGAGTGGTAAGTAGTTCCATACTGCACCTTTTATTGACTTTTCTTCCTTTTTTGCTCACTCCCATTTCTGTTTCCTGAATACACTCTTGAACTGAAGGACTTGTCTCACACCTCACACTCTGTTCTGGGGGTGTACAAATTAAGACACTGAAATTAATCCAGGTTGTTTCACCTGGATAGTCATTCACTGCTATATAGTAGACCATTATATAAATCTACCAACAGTTTCTCTTGTCCCTTAATGATAAAAATGTGGGTTGTTTCCAGGCTTTTGCTTTTATAAACAGTACTGCCCTGCACATTCTTGATAGATATTTCCTGCTCATATGTGCAAGAATTTCTCTAGAGCACCAGTTCTTAATGTGTGGTCCACGAACCCTGGAAGTCCCTGAGGCCCTATCAGCCAGGTTAAAACTACATTCATCATAATAAAGATGTTATTTGCCTTCTTCATGGTGTTGACATCTTCAAGGACACTGCAAAAGCAATAGTGGGTAAAACAGCTAGCACAAATCAGCAAGTGGCACCAAACTGTAGTAGAAGTTACACATTTTATTAAACCTCAACTCTTATGTACACATTTTTTTTAATACTTTGTGTGACAAAATGGGAAGGATGCGTAAACAGTTATGCTGCATATCAAAGTATGATGACTTTCTCGAGGAAAAAACCTTAAGTGATTGTGAGCTGAAGTAATCACTTGACTCATGGAGCACCATTCTTACCTGAAAGTACAGCTGAAGGACAAAGTATCATTATTCAGCCTTGGGTATTTGGCAGGCATTTTCTCCAGATGAGTCAAGTGCACCTGTCACTTCAAGAAAAGCAATTGACAGTGTTTGTTGTCAGTGAGAAAATTCAATCTTTTGACCAAAAATTAGAATTTTGGAAAATTTTTATGTGCTGTTATGGGCTTGATACCCTCACGATAGCAAAAGACTTTTCTGATGAGATTGGTATTGATATTAAGAAATGTGATTTTTTGGCCGGGCGCAGTGGCTCACGCCTGTAATCCCAGCACTTTGGGAGGCTGAGGCGCGGATCATGAGGTCAGGAGATTGAGACCATCCTGGCTAATACAGTGAAACCTCGTCTCTACTAAAAATACAAAAAATTAGCCGGGCATGATGGCACATGTCTGTAGGCCCAGCTACTCGGGAGGCTGAGGCAGGAGAATGGCGTGAAACTGGGAGGCAGAGCTTGCAGTGAGCCGAGATCGTGCCACTGTACTCCAGCCTGGGTGACAGAGCGAGACTCTGTCTCAAAATAAATAAATAAATGTGATTTTTTGATGTTGCATAATGAAATGTGTCAACATTTAGAAGATCTGCATAACTCAGCGACCCAGCAATTTCCAAATGATCAATGGGTGTGTTGACAAAACCCTGCATGGGTAAAACATTCATTCAAAATGCAAGAAAAAACTGTGAGTGTTGCTGTAATAGAGTATAAAAAAGTCATTGCTATGGTTTCAGATTTCATGTCATAACTAAGCTTTAAAAAACTTCCACTTGCTGAGTTTTGGTGTCTTATCAAAGAATATCCACGATTATCTGAAAAAGCTATTGAAATGCTCCTCTTCCAATTGTGTACACTTCAACCACAAAACATACTGCAGCAGATTGAAAGATATAGCTGGCTTGAGAATACAGCTGTCTTCTATTAAGCCAGACATCTAAAATATTTATAGCCATTAAAAAGAATAAAATCCCATCATTCAAAGTGACATGAATGGAACTAGAAAACATTACGTTAAGTGAAATAAGCCAGGCACAAAAAGTTAAACACCACACGTTCTCACTCATAGTTAGATGTTAAAAAAAAAAAAAAAGAAAAACTTAATCTCATAGAAGTGAAAAGCAGAATAGAGGTTACTAGAGGCTGGAGAGGGAAGGGGAGGATAGGGAGAGATTTCTTCAATAACACAAAATTACAGCTAGGTAGGAGGAACAACTTCTAGTGTTTTGTAGCACTGTAGGATGACCATAGTTAGCAATAATATATTATGTAGTTTCAAATAAAGAAGAAAGGATATTGAATGTCCCCAAAACACAGAAATGATAAATGTTTGAGATGATGAATACGATAATGACCCTGATCTGATCTACACATTGTATATATCAAAATATTACTCTGTACCCCATAAATATGTACCATATGTGTCAATTAAAAATTAATTAGGGCAGGGCATGGTGGCTCATGCCTGTAATCCCAGCAGTTTGGGAGGCTGAGCTAGGCGGGTCACCTGAGGTCAGGAATTTAAGACCATCCTGGCCAACATTGCAAAACCCCGTCTCTACTAAAAATACAAAAATTACCCAGGCATGGTGGCACACGCTTATAATCCCAGCTGCTCAGGAGGCTGAGGCACAAGAATTGCTTGAACCTGGGAGGTGGAGGTTGCAGTGAGTCAAGATCACACCACCACACTCCAGCCTGGGCAATAGAGTGAGACTCCGTCTTAAAAAAAAAAAAATTAATTAATTGGTTAATTTTTTAAAAACAATTTATATAAAGCAGTGCTACTCTTCTCAGTAATATTTTTCTATCAAAAAAGTTGTTTTGTTGATTGTAATTTGTGTATTATTTTTATTTTTAAAAGAAGTAATAATTATATTTAATTTTTCTCAGTTTTCACTTTTTTTTTTAGAGCTAGGGTCTAGCTCTGTTGCCCAGGCTGGAGTGCAAAGGCATAATCATAGCTTACTGCAGCCTTGAACTCCTAGGCTTAAGTGATTCTCTTGCCTCAGTCTCCCTAGTAGCTAGGACTACAGGTGCATGCCACCAAGCCCAGCTATTTTTAAAAATGTTTTTGTAGAGATGAGGTCTCACGGTGTTGCCCAGGCTGGTCTCAAACTCCTGGCCTAAAGTAATCCTCGCACCTTGGCCTCCCGAAATGCTGGATTACAGGCGTGAGCCACCACACCTAGTCATGTTTTAATTTTTAACATGGAAAATTTCAAAAAATATAACTCATAAACTGAAGCTCTCTGAGGTCCTCAATAATTTTGCGTTGCTGAGAATATATACCCAGAAGTGGTATTGCCAGGTTATAGATGATACTAAATTGTTTTCCAAAGTAATTGTACCAATTTATAACTTGTCATAATTAATATTTTTACTGCTTTCTCGAGAAGCATTTTATCAGTCTAAATCACATCATAAAATGGGTTTCTTATCTGAAATGTGGTTTTTAGACTTCTAACTCTGTGAGTGAGAAAAATAGCTGCAGACATAGATAAAGATATCACTCTTAACCATAATCCCAAACTCCAGTAATAATCACTATAATTTTTTTGGTCTGTACGCTTCCTGACTTAAAGAGGGAGACAGAGCTCTGGATTTCCAGTTAAATAAACATGGCTCATTGAACACACATGCTTATCTCTGTTACCTCCCAAAATGAACTAAAATGACAACCTTGGAGTGCAAAAGGAAAAGCCTATAAGGACAAACTGTGCAATAGAGATGTCAATACATGTTTTTAATGAAGGAAAGCAGAGGGCTGACTAGTAACAGATCTAGGAAAAACTGAATTCTAACCCAGGTGCCTGCAGAGCGAGGCAGGATTGGGGGAAACATCAGGTAAAGGGTTCCTGACATCAACCCTTGACATCAGCAAGAAGAAAGCTGATTCTCAACTGCGAACCTTCCAGGCTTGAGATGGGAGGGACCAGGGCCTGGCTGTACCTTATGGGGTTGTTGTAAGGATTCAATTAGCTAAAACATGCAAAATACTTAAACATGCAAAATACTTAAAATAGGGGCTGATACTCAATGGTATCTGTTATTGTCTGAGTTTTCCTCCAACTTGAAAGCCAGAGATCAAAATAAACAACAGAGACAATCTAGGAAACAGAAGAAAACAGCAGAAAATTACAACTGGAATCCTCAGAAATATGAAATAAGAGAAGATCCTGAATCCACAACATAAGAGCAAGAGGCTACCCAAAAGGAAAGTCAGGGATCAAAGAAAAACTCTTGGAAATTAACATTTTTGTAGCAGAAATGAAAAAATTCAATAGAAGAACCAGGAAATACAGCTCAGGAAAATCTCTTGTAAAGCAGAATAAACAAAACCAGGAAATGGAACATGAAGAAAAATTTAAAAACAGGGAAACTGACTGGGTGTGGCAGCTCATGCCTGTAATCCAAGCACTTTGGGAGGCTGAGAGACAGGAGGATCACTTGAAACCAGGAGTTCAAGACCAGCCTGACCAACATAGGGAGACCCTGTCTCTATTTGTTAAAAAAAAAAAAAAGAAAGAAAAAGAGAAACTGATCACAGAGAAAGTTTCCCAGAATTGAAGACTATGTTTCCTGATTGAAAGGGGCCACTGAGTGCTTAGCATAATGAATGAAAAATACTTACAGGATGGTTTATTATGAACGTTCAGAACATCAAGGATAAAGGAGAAAAATATCCTAAAAGCTTCCAAAAACAAATTAACAAACAAAATATACGGGAAGTAACAGAAGTCAGAATAAATTAGTCTCAAGAGTAGCCACATGAGAAGCTAGATGACAATGAATCAATGCCGTTAAACTTCTGAGGGAAAATAATTTCCAACATGGAAATCTGTCACTCAAGGATGAAAGAAAATAAAGTCATTTTTAGACAAGCAAGGACTCAAAAATTCACCTTCCATGAACCCCTTCTGGGGAGTTAGTGGAGAATGTACTCCTCCAAAATGAGAGAATAAACCAAGAACGGAAAAACATAAGCTCCAGTGAACAGGGCATTTGGCACAGAAGAAACAAGAAGAGAATCCCCAGAATGTGGTTAGGTTCCTAATCCCAGGATGAGAGCTGTGAAGCAAGGCCAAGCAGAGGAGTGTGGAGCAGAGAATGAGTCTAAGGAGGGATGTTGCCAAGAAAAAAATAAAAAAGACACTGGTAAATGACCTGGTTCATGTGACCAGACCAAGAGATATTTTATAGCTCTAATGGAGAGTTTGTGAAAGAGTTAACAATAGATGCATAGACAGCTCGGTATAGTGCCTCACCTCTGTAGTGCCAGCTACCCAGGGGCTGAAGCGGGAGAATCCCTTGAGCCCATCTCTAAAAATAAAAAATAAACAATGGATGCATAGATCATTAAGCAAATAAAAAATAGACAATTTTTGACTCTAGAAAAAATGTTATTCAATGAAGTGAATATAATCTTAGTATGATATATACTTCAACTGTAAAAATATTCTAGTTATATTACTATAAACTCTTGCTAGTCATTCAACAAACCAAGAAATTCTGCAGACTGGCCAAGAGTCCACTGGTAGACACAAAAGAGACAGACAAAGCATAAACTCATGGAAAGAACAGAGAGGGGACTTTGATAGGTAGTGTTGGGAACAGGCCCCCCAAAATCTGGCCATAAACTGGCCCCAAAACTGGCCATAAACAAATCTCTGCAGCTGTGTAACATGTTCATAAGGGCCCTAACACCCACGCTGGAAGGTTGTGGGTTTACGGGAATGAGGGCAAGCAACACCTGGCCAGCCCAGGGCAGAAAACCCCTTAAAGGCATTCTTAAGCCACAAACAATAGCATGAGCGATCTGTGCCTTAAGGGCATGTTCCTGCTGCAGTTAACTAGCTCAACCTATTCCTTTAATTCAGCCCATCCCTCCATTTCCCTTAAGGGATACTTTTAGTTAATTTAATAACTACAGAAACAATGCTAATGACTGGTTTGCTGTTAATAAATATGTGGGTAAATCTCTGTTGGGACTGTCAGCTCTGAAGGCTGTGAGACCCCTGATTTCCCACTTCACACCTCTATATTTCTGTGTGTGTGCCCTTAATTCGTCTAGCACTGCTGGGTTAGGGTCTCCCCGACTGAGCTGGTCTTGGCAAGTGGCATCCATTCATAGGGGCTCGAATCCAGGTCAAAGGGTCGCTGGAGCACCGGTTGGAACGGAAAACTAGCTGGAGGACACCCGAGTACTCTTAAAGCAATCCCCATGGTGAGTAAGAAGGGGAGCTCGGAAGCGTGAGGGTAACAATGCGACAGGTATGGGGTCTGGTTCGTTTCACCTTGGAACTTTTTCACACTGATAATGAGGAGGAACAAGAGTATAGTAAAGTAACAGAAGAGGTTACAGAGCATGTTTATTTGCCAGCTAAAGCTAAAGCAGCAAAGGAAGGAGAGGTTCATCCCTACCCTTCTGCACCCCCCTCCTTATTATTTTGAAGAAAATGACCCTCCAGATCTTTCTTTTCCGGAGGACACTGGGCAAAAAGTAGTTGCCCCAGTGACTATTTGAGCAGTGCCTTGAGCGACGGTTCTTAGTTCTATTCAGGCAGGAGTTCCGCAAGCTAGACTAGACGGTGATTTAGAGGCTTGGCAGTTCCCTGTTAGAATACACCCCACAGATCAACCAGGAAATATTATAGCTACATTTTAGCCTTTTCCTTTTAAATTACTCAAAGAATTAAAACAAGCAGTAAGTCAGTATGGATCAGGTTCTCCTTTTGTAATGGGACTGTTAAAGAATGTTGCTGTTTCCAGTCAGATGATTCCTACTGACTGGGATGCTCTTACTTGAGCTTCTCTAACTCCTGCTCAGTTCTTACAATTTAAAACTTGGTGGGCAGATGAAGCTTCCATTCAGGCTGCTCGCAATGCCCAGACCCAATCTCAAATTAATATAACTGCAGACCAACTTTTAGGGGTTGGCGGCTAGGCTGGTTTAGATGCATAACTGGTTATGCAGGATGATGCCATAGAACAGTTTAGAGGAGTGTGCGTTAGAGCTTGCGAAAAAATCACTTCAGGTGGGGAACCATACCCTTCCTTTAGTGCTATAAAACAGGGACCTAGAGAACCATAGGTTGATTTTATAGCTCGGTTACAGGAGTCTCTTAAAAAGATGATTGCAGATTCGGCTGCTCAGGATACAGTGCTGCAGTTATTAGCTTTTGACAATGCTAATCCCGATTGCCAGGCTGCTCTGCGACCTATCAGAGGGAAAGCACATTTAGTTGATTATACCAAGGCCTGTGATGGTATGGGAGGTAATCTGCATAAAGCTACTTTGTCGGCACAGGCAATGGCAGGACTGAGAGTGGATAAAGGAAATACTCCATTTCTTGGAGCTTGTTTTAACTGTGGAAAGCATGGTCATACTAAAAAAAAAACGTAGAAAAAATCAGCAAGTCAGGCTGCCAGATAGGGGAAAAAAGAAAACTCTTAAGCCTGAAATATGTCCAAAATGTTAAAAAGTAAAACACTGAGCTAATCATATCACTCTAAGTTTGATAAAGAAGGGAACCCGATTTCGGGAAATGCCATGAGGGGCCTGTCCCGGGCCCCGTTCTAAACCAGGGCATTTCCAGCTCAGGCCATTCCCTCGCCCCTGTACAATGTCTGTCCCCTGCCACAGCCGGTAGTGCCACAGTAGATTAAGGCTGCACAAAGGCTGTGAGCCTTCTGCCTGGGGAACCCCTGTAAAAGGTCCCAGTAGGAGTCTGTGGACCCTTGCCAGCAGGTACAATAGGATTACTTTTAGGAAGGTCTACTTTGAGTTTAAAAGGGGTACAAATACATACAGGAATCATTGATTCTGATTACAATGGGGAAATTCAAATTGTTATATCTACTTCTGTTCCCTGGAAAGCAGAGCCAGGAGAGCACATAGCACAGCACCTGATTGTGCCGTATGTGGGAATGGGAAAAAGTGAAATTAAACGAACAGGAGGATTTGGAAGCACAGATAAACAAGGCAAAGCAGCTTATTGGGTAAATCAAATTACTGATAAACGTCCTACCCGTGAAATAACTATTCAAGGAAAGAAATTTAAAGGTTTGATAGATACAGGAGCGGATATTTCAATAATTTCTCTACCGCACTGGCTGTCCACATGACCAATTCAACCCGCTCAATTTAACATAGTTGGAGTTGGTAAAGCCCCTGAAATATATCAAAGTAGTTACATTTTGCATTGTGAGAGGCCCGATGGACAACCTGGGACTATTCAACCAATTATAACTTCTGTACCTATAAATTTATGGGGAAGAGATTTATTACAACAATGGGGAGCACAAGTTCTAATTTTGGAACAATTACATAGCCCTCATAGTCAACATATGATGCATCAAATGGAGTATGTCCCTGGTATGGGACTAGAAAAAAATTTGCAAGGTTTGAAAGAACCGCTTCAAGAGGAAAAACAAAGTTCCCAGCAAAGATTAAGAAATAATTTTTAATGGCGGCCATTGTTAAGCCTCTAGAACCTATACCTTTAAAATGGTTAACAGATAAGACAATTTGGATAGAACAATGGCCGCTAAGTAAAGAAAAACTGGAGGCTTTAGAAAAATTAGTTGCTGAACAATTAGAAAATGGGCACATAGCTCCAACATTTTCCCCTTGGAATTCTCCAGTTTCCCTAATTAAGAAAAAGTCAGGTAAATGGAGAATGTTAACTAATTTAAGAGCCATCAATTCAGTTATACAATCTGTGGGAGCATTACAGCCAGGATTGCCTTCTACTGCTGTAATTCCAAAACATTGGCCTTTAATAGTTAAATTGGCCTAAATAAATTTTAAAAACTTTCTTTAGCTGAGCAAGACTGTGAACGGTTTGCATTTACAATACCCGCAGTAAACAACCTGCAACCCACTAAGCATTTTCATTGTTTTACAGATGGATCTAGTAATGGTAAAACTTCTTATTCTGGCTCGAAAAGTAAAGTTTTCCAGACGTCCTACATTCAGCTCAAAAAGCGGAGCTTGTAGCTGTAATTGAGGTATTGACTGCTTTTGATATGCCTATTAATGTGATTTCTGATTCTTCATACGTGGTTAATTACACAGTTAATTGTGTAATTCACACAGTTAATTGAAAATGCTCAGTTACAATTTCATACAAACAATTGATGACTTTATTTACCCAATTGCCAACAGCAGTTAGGAGTAGAATGCGTCCTTTTTACATTACTCACATTAGAGCTCATACACCTCTTCCAGGACCTTTGACTGAAGGGAATCAAATGGCTGATCACCTAGTTGCTAATGCAATATCTAATGCTAGACACTTTCACAATTTAACCCATGTTATTGCCTCTGCTCTCAAACGCAGATACAGCATTACAGCATTACCTGGAAAGAAGCTAAAGCTATTATCCAGAGATGCACAACTTGACAAATTGTACATTCCTCATCTTTTACAGGAGGAGTTAATCCTCAAGGACTGGAACCTAACTCTATTTGGCAAATGGATGTCACGTATGTTCCCTCGTTTAGGAGACTAGCTTATGTACATGTATGTGTGGACACCTTTTCTCACTTTGTCTGGGCTACATGCCAAACAGGAGAGTCTTCTGCCTGTGTTAAATGTCACCTTTTGCAGTGTTTTGCGGTGATGGGCATTCCAGCTTCTATTAAAACAGATAATGCCCCAGGCTATACTAGCCAAGCTCTAGCTACATTTTTCTCTATGTGGAATATTAAACACATTACTGGTGTCCCATACAATTCTCAAGGACAAGCCATAGTGGAAAGAATGAATCTCTCCCTGAAACAGCAGTTGCAAAAGCAGAAAGGGAGAGACAGAGAATATGGAAACCCACAGATGTAACTGAACCTAGCATTATTAACTTTAAATTTTTTGAACCCGCCCAAAGGCCAGATGTTATCAGCAGCTGAACAGCATCTACAGAAAGCAGCTGCAAAGACAGAAACAGAACAACTGATTTGGTGGAGAGATCCAATAATAAAAAGTTAGGAAATAGGTAAAATAATAACTTAGGGTAGAGGTTATGCTTGTATTTCTCCAGGCCAAAATCAACAGCCGATTTGGATACCATCAAGACACCTGAAACCTTATTATGAGCCAGATGCTGAGGAAGAGACTCCGGGAGGATCCCGAGTACCCCAGTTGCAGCCATGTCGAGACTGGAGCTGAGGAGGAACCCAACTGTCACGAGCAACACCCGTCGAACACAGCCACCCACCTGGGGACAGATCAAGAAGCTGTCACAGATGGTGGAAGAAAACCTGAGGAAAGCAGGACAACCAGTCACAATGAATAATTTAATGGTAGCTATGACAGCAGTTATCACCACTGCTGTGAGTATTCCTTCAATAACGGCTGGTAATAATGCCTGGATACAATCACTATGACAGTTACACATGCTTTCTGATCTCAGGATTTACCATAATAAATCTGCTCCTATAATTGAGGCATACCACCCTCAAAAACCTATTTGTAAACAGGATTGGACCCAGTTTGAAAAAATGAACGTACTTGTCTAGGAAGATTGCTTTGCAGCACGGGCAGAGGTGCTGCACAACGATTCCTATGGAATCATTATTAATTGGTCCCCCAAGGGGATGTTTAGCTTGAATTGCACCTCTCAGTCTGCGTGCCACAGTCATACTATGTTCAGATGATCTGAACAAAACGGTCAGATGGTAGAAATGATAAGAAGTATGGCAAATGTTCCTATTATCTGGAACCATGGCGATATAGTGGCACCTCAACCTCAAATGATATGGCCCGCTCTAGGAGCTTAACATAAGGATTTAAAATGAAAAGAACAAATATTTAAAGCATCCCAGGCACACCTGACCTTAATTCCAGGAACTGGAGTGCTTAAAGGAGTTGAAAATGGATAAAAATACTTGGAAGCTCTGTGATTTCAGTGATGATTGTGTTTTTAATTTATGTTGTCTTTGTATAGTCTGCAGATGCGGATCCCGACTCCTGCGAGAAATAGGACTTTGTCACTGTGACAAAGTTGCCCTTGCTTTTATCCCTTTGCAAATCAAAGAAGGGAGACATGTTGGGAACAGGCCCGCAAAAATCTGGCCATAAACTGGCCCCAAAACTGGCCATAAACAAAATCTCTGCAGCAATGTAACATGTTCATAATGGCCCTAACGCCCACACTGGAAGGTTGTGGGTTTACGGGAATGAGGGCAAGGAACACCTGGCCAGCCCAGGGTGGAAAGCCCCTTAAAGGCATTCTTAAGCCACAAACAATAGCATGAGCGATCTGTGCCTTAAGGGCATGTTCCTGCTGCAGTTAACTAGCTCAACCTATTCCTTTAATTCAGCCCATCCCTCCGTTTCCCATAAGGGATACTTTTAGTTAATTTAATATCTATAGAAACAATGCTAATGACTGGTTTGCTGTTAATAAATATGTGGGTAAATCTCTGTTTGAGGCTGCCAGCTCTGAAGGCTGTGAGACCCCTGATTTCCCACGTCACACCTCTATATTTCTGTGTGTGTGTCTTTAATTCCTCTAGTGCCACTGGGTTAGGGTCTCCCCGACTGAGCTGGTCTCGGCAGTTCAGCCTCAACTTTCACTCCCTCCTGGCTCCAACCTTCACCTTCCCGATAAAGAATGAATCCCAAACTAGTATCTCCAGTTCTGTGCTTTTCTGGAGTCTTGTAATTGCTCAGTGGACAATTCTTGCCTATTGCCACTTGAAGCATAACCTATCTCTCTCTCTCTCTCTCTCTCTCTCTCTCTCTCTCGGTCCCTCTCTGTGTGCACACGTGTGCGCACACACACACACACTCCTAACTTATCCTCTTTCTCACCCTTTCCCAAACCAACTTATCAACTTTTCCACTTTCAGCAGTGCCTCAATGGCACCACTACTTTTCCAGTCTTCCATGTGGCTTTTCCACTCCTCCATTCCCTGTAGCTGGTCTATTTTTAGCTGGCTTTTTAAAGGCTTCTAAAGGTCCTGCCCTGTCTCCAGCTGTAATCTAGTTCATAGCTTATATGAACGTTATAAACTATACCATGTGACACAAATGTGAAATACCAGTACTACATCAAGATTTCTGAAATAGACTCTGGCTTGGTTACTTTTATTAATAATAATGGAATCAGCATTTGTATAGGGTTTTTAAAAAGACATTTATTATACTTTCCTCTGATTGCTAAAGTATGAACGTTTACTGTAGAAATTCTGGGAAAGCTGGGCGCGATTGCTCACATCTGTAATCCCAGCACTCTGGGAGGCTGAGGCAGGAGTATCACTTGAGCTCAGGATTTCCAGATCACCCTGGGAAACATAGTGAGACCCCGTCTCTACAAAAAAATTAAAAACATTAGCCAGGCATGATGGTGTGTGCCTGTAGTCCCAGATACTTTGGAGGCTGAGGTGGGAGAATTGCTTGAGCCCAGGTTACAGTGACTCATGATCACACCACTGCACTCCAGCCTGAGTGACAGAGCAAGACCCCATCTATTTTTTAAATATTAAATAAATAAAAAATAAACATTTTGCAGCAGATCTCTAGAACTTTTTCACCTTACAAACCTAAAATTCTACGTCCTTTAACAATTCCTCTTTTCCCTCTCTCCTAGCCACTGGCAGTCACCATTCTACTTTCTGTTTCTTAGACTTTGACTGCTTTAGATACTTCATATGAATGGAAACATGCAGTATTTGTCTTTTTGGGGGGTTGTGTTTTAAGGCTTTTGATACCTAGTACTAAACTGACCTCCAGAAAGGCTGTCAACGATTTACAGTTTGACTGGAAGTGTGTGTCCATCTGGGCTGAGTTCATTGCTTGCTTAGCATCTATCAATTGTTTCAATTCTTGCCATTTTGATAGAGGAACAAATAGTGGACCCAAACATGGTTTTACTTTGGATAAGGCCATTGTCCTATGAATCCTGGCTGAAATACTTGCTCCAGCACTTAGGAGCTGTGTGACCCAGGACAACTCACTAAACTTTTCAGTGCTTCTGTTCCCTTATGTGTAAATGGAGATAATAATATACACATATACATTCTAGACATTTATTATGAGGAGTTAGTTAATAAATGTGAAGCTGTAAGAACAGTGCCTGGAACATAGTATGCCCAAATGTAAGGTAGCTATTGTCATTTTTGTCAATCCTTGCTAATGTGATACATTGAAAATGACAGTCAGCTATTTTAATTTACATCTCCTCCGTAATCAGTTGAACGTGAATATTCTCTGTATTTATAATGGCTATTGGTACTTCTGTCAAGATTTCCTTTTTCAAAGCACTGCGGCAAACGGGATCTCATTTGATCCTCCCAATAAACTCATGAATGAAGAAGGTGGCAATCACCAATCCCCACTTTTCGAATTAAGAAATTGAGGCTCGGAATTCGAATTCTGAGCAATTCCAATTCCAGGATTCAGATCTCACCCTCTAAAACCTAGCAGCTGTTGCATAAAATATAACGGTGAAAAAGCTTTTGTTAGCCGTAACCACCACCCACCCCCCCCCCCCCGGCTCCGCCCCTGCCCCGCCCCTCCCTCTACGTGATTTGACAGCTATCCTCTCCGCGCACGCGCAGCCGTTCCTGCGGGCGGAAGCCTCCCGGCACTCGGCCCTCCGCCCCTCCCCCCGGCGCGCGGCCCCGCCCAGGACGAGGGGCGGCGGGCGCGCAGTGCTGGGTCCAGTGGTGGAGAGAAGGCGAGGATTACCCCCCGGAGGCGTTGTCTGCGACTCGGCGGAGGCTCCAACTTCCAGCGGGCCGGTCGGGAAAGGTACCGACTCTCGAGCCCCTCTGTCGGCGGCTCCAGCGGCCGCCATTTTCCTCCAGAAGAGCGAAGAGGGCGGGAGGCGGGGGCCGTCCCCTGGGGCCGGGCGGGCCGGGGCGGAGTCGGGGGCTGGGCGGCGGAGGGCGGGCCCGGGCGGCGGTGGGGCCCGGCCCCCAGGCCCCAGGAGCGGCTGCTGCGGCACACAATTAGGCCGGCCGCGGTGGGAAAACCGTGGGCGTCCCCTGGACCTCAGCATCCTATTAGGACGGTTCCGCGGTGGGTGCCGCACGCCGCAGAGTGGGCAGAGCTTTCACAGGGGTCTTCGCATTCCACCCGCACACAGCAGCTCCTGGAGGGAGGCCAGGAAGACACTATTAACCCATTTTGCAGACAGAAAACTAAGGCTCAGAGTGGGGAGGAGACTTGCCCAGGGACACCCAGCGAGGTTGTGGCGTTGGGACTGGGTTCCTACTCCGCCACATCCAGCGCCCTTGCCACCAGACCCCTCTGCCTCACCTGGCAAAGGATGGGGCGGAGCTAAAGGATTAGTTAGAGGAATGACTGGCAAGTTTTTTTTTTTTTTTTTTTTTTTTAAGATCTTCCTTTTTCTGTACCACCCAGATCAGAGCCTCCTAAGAAATACCCAGAAGTCAAGCCATGGATCCACCTGCACGTAAAGAAAAAACTAAAGTTAAAGAACCTGTCAGCAGAGTTGAGAAGGCCAAACAGAAATCAGCCCAGCAGGAGCTGAAGCAGAGACAAAGAGCAGAGGTGAGATTAAGGCGGAGGCTCTGTATGCCTGTAGTCTGCTGGAGATGATGCCGGAGTAGAGAAATAGCAGAAAGAACTGACAGCGAGCCCTATTTGCCTCCAGGCAGGATGGGTGTTCTCCCAGATTTAGAGGGGAAAACACTGAGGTTCAGAATGGTGAGGTGGCAGACCAGAATCACATGCCAAGTTAGTGTCAGAACCCCAGCCTGGTGCGGAGCTTTTGTGGTAGAGACCCAAGGGAAGGAAGAAAGGAAAAAAAAAGTGGTATGTAAGGGGAAAGAAGGAGTCAGAATGAGAGAGAGCACGGAAGTGTCAGACACCCCAGTACAGATGTTCTGGATTTGGTGCAGAAAGTAGCTACTCATGCCAGGTAGAGGCCCAAGCCATTGTGTTCCTTTGTTCTCTCAACGATTACAATCAATTTGAGAATAAAAAGCTTTAAACTTTACACTGCCAATATTGAGCCACATACAGACATGAGTATTTTATTTTAGTATTTAATGTCAGGGAAAAGCTTGCTGGTCTCTTTTTCCCTCTTTGTTTTGTTTATTTATCTGTCTGTTTTGTCCATTTCCTGTCTTACATCCTTTTACCTTTCCATGGACAACTACTTTTTTTTATACTTTTACATTCAAATATGTTAATAGAGATCCTTGAACAATATACAATAGTATTTTAAATTTTTACATTAATAAAATTCCTGCATTTTATTTTGCATTTTGCTTACATTGTTTTTTTAAGAACTGTTCATGCTAATATAAGAATCTAGTTTATTCTCATTAATTTTTATAGTAGTCTATTTTATGCATCCATTTTACTATATTTATTCATTCTTACAGGGATGCACATTTAAATTATAGTATTTTTTGCTATTACAAACATTGCTGTAGTGAAAAGCTTTTAGGTGTCTCCTTTGGCACTTGCCTTAGAATTTCTATAGGGTATTTAACTAGAAAAATTACTGGGTACATTCTCAATTTTACTAGACATTGCCACATTGCTTTTTTTTTTTTTTGAGATGGAGTCTCACTTTGTGACCCAGGCCAGAGTGCAGTGGCGCAATCTTGGCTCACTGCAACCTCTGCCTCCCAGGTTGAAGCAATTCTTCTGCCTCGGCCTCCCAAGTAGCTGGGATTACAGGCATGTGCCACCACGCCTGGCTAATTTTTGTATTTTTAGTAGAGATGAGGTTTCACCATGTTGGCCAGGCTGGTCTGGAACTCCTGACCTCAAGTGAGCTGCTCACCTCGGCCTCCCAAAGTGCTGGGATTACAGGTGTGAGCCACGGCGCCTGGCCTGCCAAATTGCTTTCAAAGGAATTGTATACATTTGCACTCCCACTAGCAGTGGAAGAGGATTCTCATTCCTCATTTTTTCCCTAACACTTGATATTGTCAATTTTTTTTTTTTGAGATGGAGTCCTCACTCTGTCGCCCAGGCTGGAGTGCAGTGGTGTGATCTTGGCTCACTGGAAACTCTGCGTCCTGGATTCGTGCCATTCTCCTGCCTCAGCATCCCGAGTAGCTAGGACTACAGGTGCCTACCACCACACCCGGCTAATTTTTTTTTGTATTTTTGAGGTGGGGTGTCACCATGTTAGCCTGGATGATCTAAATCTCCTGACCTCGTGATCACCCACCTCGGCTTCCCAAAGTGCTGGGATTACAGGCGTGAGCCACCATGCCCGGCCGATATTGTTAACTTTTAATTTTTGTTAATCTGATTGATTCATTAAATATTGGCCAGGTGCAGTGGCTCACGCCTGTAATCCCAGCACTTGGTGAGGCTGAGGTGGACGGATCACAAGGTCAAGAGATTGAGACCATCCTGGCCAACATGGTGAAACCTAGTCTCTGCTAAAAATACAAAAATTAGCTGGGCGTGGTGGCGCGCACCTGTAGTCCCAGCTACTTGGGAGGCTGAGGCAGGAGAATTGCTTGAATCCAGGAGACGGAGGTTGCCAAGATCGCGCCACTGCAGTCTAGCCTGGGCGACAGAGCTTGACTCTGTCTCAAAAAAAAAAAAAAAAAAAATTGAACTGCTAGTATGTGCCAGGCACTGTGCTAGGAATTTGAGTCACATGATGATAAAGCAGAAAAGAATCCCTGCCTTCATGGATCTTGCATTCCAGCAAGGGGAGGCAGTAAACATAGTAAGTAAACTTACTAGTGCATTTGAAGTTAATATGTAAACTGAAATCTACCTTTGGGTTAAGGCAGACCACCTGAGAGCTGTGGTCCTTTACCTTCCCATTCCCACGTGGATCCAAGTCCCCAGATGATGTGACTGCATTGTGCTTTGGTGAACAATATAAGGGTTGCTATAAGGAACAGTCCTGAAGCGGGAGAACAGAAGCTACAGATAAGAAAACCATTGATCAGAGAAATGGTGATATAGCCAAGGGAGCTCTCACTGGAAGAACAGACCTATCTACACTTCTGTGTAAGACAAATGCTCTGGGAAATGGAGAACCAGTTGCCAGCCCATATGTGGTTACCTCACACCAATCAAAAGTGACTGTGGAGAGCACCCCCAATTTGGAAAACCAAATGAAAATGGAGTATCTGTTCAGAATGAAAATTTTGAAGAAATTATAAATTTACCCATTGGTTCGAAACCATCCAGATTAGATGTCACCAACAGTAAGAGCCCAGAAATTCCTTTGAATCCAATTTTGGCCTTTGACAATGAAGGGATGCTTGGGTCCCTGTCTCAGGTAGATGGTGTTCAAACACATAGACTGCAGAAGTTAAATCAGTATTTTTTATGAAGAACCAAAGTCAAAATTTAATGAGAATTTCTACAATTAATGGAATTCCTTTCATGCTGTAAAAAAGCGTCCCCTCTTCCAATTTTCTAAAGATTTCTTGACCATTATTTTGAACAGACTTATTAAAACTAGCTAAAGACAACAGACAGGATAGCTTTTCTAATAATTTTCAGAAGTAGAAAAAAAAATACTACTCATTCTTCAGTACTTTAAAATGGCTTTTTCCAATGTGCTCCTTGTTAGCAAATTAGTATTTTTCTGCATTCTTTAAAAGACAAGAGCATTTGGCTATAAAATGACTGAGTAGGTATCAGGGAAAACCCCACCCCCAATATTTAATGTGGGTTCTTTTCTATTTCCCTAAGAGTCTCGACTGGTCTGAGAAATAAAAGGAAAGAGTACAAAAGAGAAATTTTAAAGCTAGGTGTCCGGGGGAGACATCACGTATCAGCAGGTTCCATGATGCTCCCTGAGCTGTAAAACCAGCAAGTTTTTATTAGTGATTTTCAAAAGGGGAGGGAGTGTGCGAATAGGGTGTGGGTCACAGAGATCACATACTTCACAAGGTAATAAAATATCACAAAGCAGGTGGAGGCAGGGCGAGATCACAAGACCACAGGATGGGGTGAAATTAAAATTGCTAATGAAGTTTTGGGCACGCATTGTCATTGATAACATCTTAATCAGGAGACAGGGTTTGAGAGCAGACAACCTGTCTGACCAAAATTTATTAGGTGGGAACTTCCTCGTCCTAATAAGCCTGGGAGCGCTACAGAAGACGGGGCTTATTTCATCCCTTCGCTTTATCTGTAAAAGACGGCCACCTCCAAGGGGGCCGTTCATAGACCTCCCGTCAGGGGTGCATTCTCTTTCTCAGGGATGTTCCTTGCGGAGAAAAAGAATTCAGCGATATTTCTCCTATTTGCTTTTGAAAGAAGAGAAATATGACTCTGTTCCATCCAGCTCACCGGCAGTCAGAGTCCAAGGCCATCTCCCTTGTTTCCTGAACATTGCTGTTATCCTGTTCTCTTTTCAAGGTGCCCAGATTTCATATTGTTCAAACACACATGCTCTACAAACAATTTGTGCAGTTAACGCAATCATCACAGGGTCCTGAGGTGACATACATCCTCCTCAGCTTACGAAGATGACCGGATTAAGAGATTAAAGTAAAGACAGGCATAGGAAATCACAAGGGTATTGATTGGGGAAGTGATAAGTGTCTGTGAAATCTTCACAATTTATGTTCAGAGATTGCAGTAAAGACGGGCATAAGAAATTATAAAAGTATTAATTTGGGGAACTAATAAATGTCCATGAAATCTTCACAATTTATATTCTTCTGCCATGGCTTCAGTCGATCCTTCCGTTCAGGGTCCCTGACTTCCCACAACAACTAGGATTGACTAGGCATCATTTTTTTTTTTCACATAAATAGTTTGGTCTTAAAGCTTAACAGCTTAAAATTGGCAAAAAAAAAAAACAACACTTGCCTTTTACCATGTAATACTTGAAAAGTAAGTACCTCTTTGCTACAAGTAGAATGAATAGGGGAAAGTTTAAGCCTGTTTTTAAAAAAATATTATTGTAAAGAGCTCTATTTGTAGAAGCAAATTATAGGCAGATTACCAGGTTCTTATAAATACAAACTTGTACATGGACATTCTGCAAACCCAGCTGTCACATTTCTTGCAACTCCTTTTGCAAAAGGATACTAAGAGGTTTTAAAATGTGAAAAACATTATTTTTTCAGAGTAAGAAAATAATTTACTGTTGTCTTAAATAATGTATAAAGTTTTTCAGATAAACTAATCAAATAAATTAGAACAACGTGACAACATTGCAAATTTGTTATTAGATGCATTCCTTCTAATGGTACCAGAGGAGGATGTTATTGATGAATCAAGTCTGTTTCTGAAGTCTGTATGTTGCTGCTGTCCCCAGTGATGGTGGGACTTACCTCTGCTCTACCTGATTACAAATTATGTTGGGGGAAATAAAGATTTAATATTTCATTAAATAAAAAAACAATTTGGTTTTGCTCATTTAAGAGCAATGAGAAAATGGTGGCATGTTGACTGTGTTTGGCTGCAGGGCACGGACCGTCATGGAAGTCTTCGCTCCACAGGGCATACACCAGCTTTTTGCCTTTCATTCTTATTCACTGTTGCTGCTGAGCCTAGCTGTACAAATTTGCGCTTTCATTTGCTAATGTAAATTCAATTTATTT